TTCTCTTTCTCTCTTTCTCTCTCTCTCCTCCTTCCTTCCTTCCTTCCTTCCTTCCTCATTCCTTCCTTCCTTCCTTCCTTCCTTCCTTCCTCCTTCCTTCCTTCCTTCCGCCACACATCCTAGCTACATCTTCCCTGAGCGGTGCCTTTTACCTCTTTAGAATTGTGAGAGAGGAGGGGGGACACTGGCCTTGCTCTGCCGATAGCTGTGCACCCCAGGAGTTCTCAACTTGCTGGAAGATCCAATGCCTTGAATCTCCCGAAGTCAAGCACTTGTGTTTGCAGACACCCAGCTGCCCCTTGTCCTTCCACTGGAGGGCAGAATGGGTATCAAGAAGTGGGTCAAAGAACAAAGGCCCTTGACCTTTCCCCCCCCCCCCCCCCCCCCCCCGCGCCTCTCCCTTTTGCTCTGAAACTCCTCGCCACTGGCCGAGTTCCACCACCCCCTTGCTTCATTCCCTTGTATGCTCAGATTTCCAGCAGGCATCTTACCAAAGACTCCTGAGGAAGTGCAGTAGCCCTGGGGTAAGAGCACAGATCCTATTACAGTGTTTTAATTGTTTGAGCAGCAGGAAAACAAGAGTAGGAATAAATGGGCAGTTCTTGAAGGGGAGAGGAAGTGAGCAGTGAGGGTGCTACAAGGATCAATATTGGGACCGGTACTGTTTGATTTGTTCAGTTCAGTTCTATTTATTGCATATGGCCAATGGCCGTTACAAAGACAATACAATACAATCAAAGTTATAAAATACAAAGTAGGATCTGCATTAAAGCACAGGAAGTAAATATATATATATGTCTGGCATAAAACTGCTTAAAATAATATAAAAATTAAAACATACAAAATAAGGTTTGGGGTAAAATTACTAAAAAGGACCTTAAATACCTTGACGTGACCTTGGCTATTTAGCTGGAGAGGATTTAGTCAACTTGATGTGGATTTTCTTTGCCGCTAGGGAAAACAGTGCAACCTTGTACGAATACTCTGGCTCCACTTCTACAAGTTAAGTTAAAACTTTTCCAGATGTGAAGCAAGGGCCCAACTTATCTAAGATTGTGCCAAGAAACTTCTTTCTTGGGAGTGAATAAAGTGGACAATCCAGGAGGTAATGATGACACAGATCATCAGGGACTGAGCCACCGCATATGCAAAGGCACTTAGTTGCTGGTGTTTTGGTATATCGGCCTTCAGATTTGTTCATAAATAGTTCTGAATTGGCCACCATACTCCTCACCCCCGTGCTGGCAGGTGACACAGAATTATTCAGGGTGTTGGAAAACCAAGGCTCCAGGAGGATCTCGCTAAGTTAGATGGATGGGCAAGAACATGGCAAATGAAAGTTAATGCAGGCAAGTGTGCAGACATTGGAACAAAAAATCCCAGCTTTAAGTATATGCTGATGGGATGTGAACTTGCTGAAACTTAGAAGGAAAAGAGACCTTGGGGTTATAGTGGGTAGCTCAATGAAAATGCTTCTCTTTCTTTCCTTTCTTTTCTTTCTTTCTTTCTTTCTTTCTTTCTTTCTTTCTTTCTTTCTTTCTTTCTTTCTTTCTTTCTTTCTCCTTTGATCCAGTGATCTTGAGCAATGGATAAGGAGTCTTTATTTATTTAAGGAAAATGTGGTAGAGAGATACCTGGCCATAGCCAGTGTTCCCTCTAAGCAGAGTTAGGGAGAGAGATACCTGGCCATAGCCGGTGTTCCCTCTAAGCAGAGTTAGCGTGAGCTAGATCACAGTTTTTTAGCCTCTGGCTCACCCATTTTTGTCTTGGCTCAGAGAGGATGGCCTCAGAGCAAACTAATTTATGCAGTAGCCAAATCACTGACTCACAACTTTAATGCCAGTAGCTCACGAAGTAGACTTTTTG